TGCACACACTTGTAAGGACTGGGAGCTCACTACTGTCTGGAGATAACTGTTCTTATCTTTGGAAAATTCTTCCTTACACCGGGCTGCTTCTGGGTAACTGTGACCTGGTGGATTACACACACACAAGCCCACTCCTCCTCAGGGAGGCAACTGCCCTCGGAAAAGAGAGTTCTCGCCCCTCCCTCACCAGTGGCTGCAATGACCCTGCACCAACCCACCAGCCTTCTCTGGACATGCTCCCCTACACACACACAAGCCCACTCCTCCTCAGGGAGGCAACTGCCCTCGGAAAAGAGAGTTCTCGCCCTTCCCTCACCAGTGGCTGCAATGACCCTGCACCAACCCACCAGCCTTCTCTGGACATGCTCCCGTCCTCTGGCCTTTCTCAAAGGTGAGGCCACATTACCTGAGCTGTGGGCATTTTCCCTCCACTAAAGCAGCTGAGAATGACTGAGAATTTCTGGCCGTGACACTATGGCCTTGTTGGTTCAACAAGGAAGGAACAGAAGGTTAAAGATTCCAGAGGGGAGTATGTAGAGGTGCCAGGTCCTATGAAGGCCCACAAAGTCCTTAGCCATGTGAGGAAAACCTACAAAACAGCCACTATGAGTAAACTACACACAGAAGGGGCGAGGGGGGCTGACTGCAGAGGCCCTGCTAAAAAAAAAGCAAACAGCGCAGTGCTGTCGGGTGGTCCAGAACAGAGGAGCAATCCAGTGTAGAGATAGAAGAGCTATGAGATAGGATTTGAAGGCTGGGTTTAAATGGAAATGAGCCTAGCTTGCTCATGCATGGACTGAGCATGTCCTGTGTTCCAGGCCTCACGCAGGTGCACAGATGCAGCAGTACCTGACAAACAAGGTCCAGGGACTCCAGAAAGGGGGAGGGGGCAGGCATCCCAGGACTTGGCTCAATGCAAGGGTGAGGTGTATTTGGATTGACTGTGGGACCCAAGCCAAGCATCTAAAAGTTCTGCATCTACTCTTCTGTGGTCAGAATTCCAGTTCCCACGCATCTGAGGTCCCCACTAGAAGTAACAGATGGTGGAGAGAAGGGACGGTGCTTCCTTTCAAGATGCAGTATCTTCTATGGGCAAGAAAAGTGTTTACCTATGATGTTCCCAGGCCCCATGGCTTGGTCCCAGGTTTAAAAGAAGCAAAGAGGCACACGAAAAGAAAGACGGAAAAGGGGGAGAACCAAATGAGCAATCCAATGGAGAAGGATGGCAGAAGCAGCCTGATCCCCATCAAGAGAACGCCGCTGGGATTTTTTCCAAAAGCTTCAGCATGGATCATAACTGCAGAAAGTTCCTTCACAGGCTGCTTGGCCAAGCTCCCTGGGGCTTAACCAACTAAACTGTACTGTGAAATTCCAAGGCAGAATGGAAAACACAACCTTTGAACGTCGAATGTCTCCGGGACGGATATCGTTTACTAGGCTTCCTCTCAAAGGTGCTGGTTCTTCGTAACCTGGCGCTGTGGGTAGCTTGATATTCCGTCCGCCCGCTGGGAAGTAAATATTTTATTGCATGTTAACCAGTATCAGAACCTCAGGACATTATACATATTTGGAAGTGAACTTACATTTTCTTTTCTTTTTTCTTTTTTGGTGGCTGGCCAGGATGGAGAACCTTGGTATTACAAAGCTGTGCTCTAACCGACTGAGCTAACCGGCCAGCCCGCACTACATTTTCAAGAGCTCCAATGTACATTTCAACTTAGCTTTAAAGAAACACACTAAGTTTAGCCCTCCGTTTGGAAATAAAATCTCCTTTGCCCAATCCAGGATATATAATGGGGCAGATATTTCCACCAAAGGACAATTTAGGTACCAGCCACTTGGCTGCACAAACCAAGCAGGTCTGAATGCTTAAAACATTTGATTAAGAGAACGTTGAGTTGCCCATAAAATTACCTTTTATGGAACATATCGTGTAGACATTTAACTCATCTCTTAAAAGGCTGTTATCAATGACTACTTAACTAAACCTTGACTTTCCTTGCTATGCCAAGGGCAACATTCCTTATTTCACTAAGGCTTTCTTGGTTTCCAGCAATGTGACACCCAGCTGCGGCTTCCAGGAGGGATGCTGTTTTTGTTTGATCTGCCCCCACTGCTTCATTCCAGTCGCTCTTGGTTTACGATTAATCAGAAGGAAGGAGCCACTTGCCACCTGCTCTGTGCCTCCAAAGGGCAAACCCATCCCCAAATTCCCCTTCTTTCTTACACTTCTCCTTGAAGAGCAGAAGGGAGCCTGGTCTGGGTTGAACCCTGGGGGAGTCTCCTCCCAGGAGGGAGAAACCTGCCTTGGCAACCACCCCATCCTTCCCTCCTCACCCCAACCAGAGTGAAATCAGCATAGCATGGAGCATCCCCACTAACCTCTGCAGTCCTGACATTTTCCATCCTCTGCAGAACTCTGTGATTCAATTTTTTCTCAAAATGGACTTGGTCTTTTTTTTCACCCCCCCACTCTTGGAGCATTTAAAAATACATTCAAACAAACTCATTCTTTAAACAGAAGTGCACAGCCATTTCCTTGCACGGTAGATAAATATGAAATGAGCAAATCTCTCAGCACTTTAAACAGAGTTTGGGGACAAGCCACATGTGGGCAGAGGTTACAAAACTGTGAGAAATTTTAGGTCTTGGATCTGCGATTCTCAGACCTGTAAATGTGCCTCAAAAATCAACCCTGGGAGCGTGTTTAAAATACACACACCCAAGTCTTAGACACACACGTACCCGTTCATGCCCAGAGATTTTGACTGTAAAGGTCTCTCAGAGGAGGTCACTGATCCTCATTTTTAACAAATACCCAGGGAGTTTTCATGCACTTTGAGAAGCACAGTCTCAGAATCATAAGCAAAAATACATCAGAATAAGCTATTTCTTCAGGCTGTTTTCGGATTCAAGTATTGATTAAGCTTACCCTGGGTTACATACACACAAACACACACACTGACATCTGCTCTCCTTTTTAATGTCACCAAATTTCTCAATATTGGCATGTGAAAGGCAATACAGTAGTGGTCAGAAATATAAAAGCCAAACTGCCTGGGGTTGAATCTCAGCTCTCCCACTTACCAGTTGTGTGTGACTTTAGGCAGCTTATGGAACCCACTGGCTCTAGTTTCCTTACCTGTAAAATGGGGATAATGAACCCACCTTAAGAAGGTACACGAGGAGTTGTAGCACAGCACTATCTGGTGATATCCATTAATTTAATTAGCCACATGTAGCTAGTGGCTAGCACAGCTCTAGCTAGATGTCAGCTATTAACAATTTTGTTATTAATAGTTTCACTTTATCGAGGCCATAAGAGCTTACATGACTTACGTGAAGGTCAGACCTTAAGAAAGAAGCGGGGATGGGACGTGAACCCATCTCTGGACTCAAATCCATTGCTCCATTCACACACACACACACACACACACAAATAACAGTTGTCCTCCTTTGAAATGTGATCCATTTTGCCAAAACGGCTCCCTACCTGAATCTGAAGCGCGAGCCCAGCCTGATAAAGTCGGATCTATTGGATTTGCTGTTCCCCGGCGTCCGCAGGCGGAAAAACGCGTGATAATAACAGTTGTCCTCCTTTGAAATGTGATCCATGTTGCCAAAACGGCTCCCTACCTGAATCTGAAGCGCGAGCCCAGCCGGATAAAGTCGGATCTATTGGATTTGCTGTTCCCCGGCGTCCGCAGGCGGAAAAACGCGTGATGCTCCACCGCGCATTTCCACAGGTGCTTGCAGGTCCTGGCACTGTCCAACCGGAACACAAATGTGTGTTCCTGCTCGCGTCCCTGAAAGAGGAAGTGCGGGGTCCTCGTCTGGGTGTCTGTAACTCCGATGCAGGATCATTCACAGCCAGGGGGGAACAGGGGAGCAAGCCTACCTGATCATCATCTTCAACCACCACGAGTGTCAATTTGCTCTTTTTAAAATCCATTTTGGTAATTTTAGGCCTGGTCAGAGAGAAAGCTTTTTAAAAGTAGAGTCAGCAGTAAAATGATCTACACATCAAACAGCAGTTTCCTGTCTACTTTTTAAGCTTAGATTGGCTTAAAAAATCATTCATTCATTCAAGTGTGATTATCCAGAAGTTTCAGTGCAATTACCATACACCCACAACGACAACAGTATGGTGTGCTTTTAAAATGAATCTGGGTGTTGCAAATATCCCTCAAAAATCATCCATCACATAGAATTCCACCACAAAATAGGAAAAGACATTTTTAATATTAGACAAAACTAAATTACCAAAAGAATAAGCCTATTTTGTTAGCTCCTTCAAAGATTAATATGCCTGTCGGGGTCAGTCCAAGAGAATATTCACAGCCATCTCTTCCCTACAAACAAACGAAGTGACAATCGGTAGAGGGTTCTAACAGGTCGTCACAGAGCAGAATGCAATAACAGTTTGCTCGCCACAAGTTACTTTGTTGGCAACTGTTTACATGTTTTTCAGTAACGGCAAAATTAAATAACTTAAACACACGCAGTTCTTACCCTGACAACGTGCATGTCTACCCCATACATTTCCAGCCACTTCGCTTTATTCAGATAGGACAGTTCCGCCTGGGCAGGGCTCTTTCCCCTTAGAAAAACCAACGGAAATACATGTAAACTGTGATTCATACACCCGAAGAATGCCGAGGCCATGGCAGCAATTAAAGCAATGAGGGACACCAGTTTATATTAACGTGAAAAGATCTCCAAGAACATACCATTAATTGAACAGGAAGATCTCGGAATAGTGCTTATGACCACTTAAGGAAACAAAACAATAGTTTTTTGTGTAGATACGTATATGTAAATGCAAAGGAAAAAACTAGGATACACAATAGACTGTTACCAATGGCTTCCTGCAGGGAGGCTGGTGGGTGCATGTTTGTGTGTGTGACTGGGTGGAGCTGGATCACTTTATATCCACACACTTCTATGTTGTTCCAATACTACACAACAAGAACACACTAATGTCACCTCCCACTAAAAAAAAAGTCACAGGAGCTTTTCAGAATGACTGGGCGACAACAGGAAGCCACACTAAGTTCCAGAGTGCAAGAGTGACTTGGAACAGGCAGTGTTTGAGGAGGATGCATTGCGGAGGAGGATGCATTGGGGAGGAAAGGCTAATGTCTGGGAAACCTGCGGGTGACAGGTAGCATTGGTCGTCCAGGCACGAAAGTGTTAGACCGGGGTGGTGACTGCAAGGGGAATGCAGGACAAAACACCGAAGAGACAAATGGCACAGCTGGGTCTGGGCGTGATGACCACATTTCCTGAAATGTAATGCTGTACAACACCCGGTCTCAACTGAGTGTTCCTCTACAATAGGGTGTATTTCTCAAAGGTTTGCTCTAGAAGTTCAGGTCAGGGGGTCGCCAGAGGCACAGGTGTGTGGGCATGCGCCAGGACATGGGTGGCTCCCCTGGAGGCAATGGGCAACTCAGAACCAGGCTCTGTATTTCAGAGAGAGAGAAAGAGCACGGTTTGGTTCTTGTTGCAGGTCTCCCAAAGAGAGATGACACGTGGACCTTTAGAAAAGGAGGACTAAAGCCCAGGAGAAAAGTTACAGCTGGAGCTGCAGTCTTAACAGTGGTCAATACAGCGATTCTACCAGTACACAAAAGAGTCTGACAAACGCTTACATATAACAAAATAAATCAATATGTCAGAATGCTAGACAGCAGCATCAAGATACCTGCACTCTTTCCATCTCTGGAAGATATCATATTCCATCGCTTCTGTCTGATTGGGAATGAACCGAAACTCAGACACAAGCTCTGGTGTGTGTTCTGGAAGCTCGCACTCCCCAAGCTCTGCTGCAGGTTTCATAAAAGGAGAAAAACAGGAGACAGTGAACACTTTTGGTTATTGCTGCAACCTAGTCCAAAGGCATTTTGCAGATGATACAGCACAGGGACCCCCTAATGTATCACTCTCCTTTCAGGAGGATTTAACTCTCACTTGGTGGCCATACACACACTCAGAATCTCAGAGAACCATCCAAACGCCCTCCCTGTTGGGTGATGTCTGTCATCTTAGTGATTACTGTCTTTCTGCCCACTGCTTCTCCAACCCTGGGAGGCCCCAGTTACATTTCCCCCGTGAAGTGGTAGAGCCCGGACTCTGCAATAAAAGGCAATCACAGAGAATGAGAATCTGCCCAGAAGCATCCATTTAACGAGGCTCTCGTTAAGGGGAGGTCAGAGCAACACTTCAGGGTCTGCAGTCCTGGAGAGGATGGATCAAGAACTCCGTACATGCAGAATTCCGGGGGGGGGGGGGGGAAATAAAGGGGGGGGGAGGAGGGGGCGGGGGGGGGGGGGGGGAA